CCTGGAAACAGTGAGGGAATGTCCCCCACTGCCTTGGCCCTGGAGCCAATGTACAATTTTGTGGTGGCCATCTATGCTGAAACACATTCAGTCGTAGCTCCACAAGGCCGTCTAGAAACAGTGAGGAACCAGCCCCTGCCACATCGACCCCGCCCCCTAGGTGCATGCTGGGGAGGTGTCACCCTTTGTGAGGAATGAAGAAATGGACCATGCCTTGGCATTTGCCCCAGTCCCACCCCCTTCTGCCAGAGACCCTCAAATCTGTCCCACTCCTGCCCAGCCCCACAGGCACCCTTGATGAGCTGGCCATGCCCACCCAGTAGGCTACACCCACTCCATCCACACCCACCCAGTAGGCTGCACCCACCTGGCCCCCCAAGGGCAACCGCAATGCTGATGCGGCCCTCAATGAAATTGAGTTTGACATCCCTGCTGTATCAGCTTCAATGTTAGCTGAGTATTTCATGTGATATTATTTCATAATATATGTCTGTGATATAGGTATAGAGATATAGATATAAAGCCAGATGGATGACCTTTGTCCAGTCACTCTCTCTCAGCCCTAGGAAAGAAGCAATGGCAAACCATTTCTGAAAAACCTTGCCAAGAAAACTGCAGAGAATTGTCCAGGTAATCTCTGAGAATCAGACATGATTGAACAGAAGGGGAAAAAATTAGAGACACTAGATCTGCTGTCAAGAGACAATGATGTACCACAAAAGCTGAGAACGAGGCTCAGATATAAAGTCCTATAGTGAATAAGCATGTCTTAAATTGATTTTAGTAGGGAAAGGATTCTCATTCTGAAGATGGAAAGAGTTCTGTCATTAGTATTATCAATCATGTTTAATGGCTTAATAAAAGCAGAGATAGACTGTTAAGGTTTATTAACATACTATATTTCCCAAAGGAGCCATAGTAGTTTACACAAAAAGGGGAGGAAGGAGTCTGAAATTAAACCAGCAAAATAATAACTAGAAATCTTCTCTTAGAATAGAATCTTCTCTTAGAATAGAAGAGAGCTGGAGGTGACCTTGGAGGTCTTCTAGTCCAGCCCCCCACTCAAGCAGGAGAACCTATACCATCTCAGACAAGTGACTGTCCAGTCTCTTCTTAAAAACCTTCAGTGATGGAGCATCCATGATTTCTGGAGGCAAGCTGTTCCACTAGTTAATTGTCCTCACTGTTAGGAACTTGCTCCTTAATTCCCGGTTGCTTCTCTCTTTGATCAGTTTCCAATCATTGTTTCTTGCCCTGCCCTCTGGTGCTTTGGAGAATAATTTGACCCCCTCTTCTTTGTGGCAGCCTCTCAAATACTGGAATACTGCTATCATGTCACCCCTATTTCTTCTTTTCTTTAGACTAGCCAAACCCACAGCTGGTCTTCATATGTTTTAGTCTCCAGGCCTTGGATCATCTTAGATGTTCTTCTCTGAACTTTTTCCAAGGTCTCAACGTCTTTTTTGTAGTATGGTGACCAAAATTGGTTGCAGTATTCCAGGTGTGGTCTCACTAGGGCAGGGGTGTCAAATTCGCAATGTCATATCACATGTCACGACGTATCACAACTTTTTTGCCATTGCCGGCAATGGGGTGGGTATGGTTTTGCTATCATGTGTCCGGCCTGTGGGCCAGCAATTTGACACCCCTGCACTAAGGTTTTATAAAGCGGTACTAATACTTTGTGTGATCTTGATTCTATGCCTCTGTTTATACAACCCAGGATTGTATTAGCTTTTTTGGCTGCTGCTGCACATTGCTGGCTCATAGTCAAGTGATTGTCCACTAGGGCTCCAAGGTACCTCTCACAGTTACTGTTTTTGAGCCCGGTCTCACCTAATCTGTACTTATAGCTTTGATTTTTCCTGCCTAAATGTAAAACTTTGCTTTATTAAAACTGAGTTCATTTTAAGTAGAGAAAAATGAAATAAATAATAGGAAAATGTAATAGGAAAATGTAATGCCTGGGCCTGGAGTAGTAATTTTCATCTCAACAACAGCCTGGATGGGTTCTTTTCTGAAAGAAGACTGTGAGGAATCAGGCAAGTAGGCTTGGAGAGAAATTTCCATAACTTAATGAGAAGATCCTACTGCTGGCTACCACAGTGTGAGCCAAACCTACTAGTGGAAATATAACTAGAGTTCTCCAACTAATCTCTGTGTAGATGTTGGAGACATTTGGGGGTGGGGAGTGGAGGGGGGGGTAACCAAATTATGAGGAAGTAAGACTAATGGTAAAATATATCAATGCAGAATAAGCACAACTGTGTAGTTTCCAAAATGTTGTCTGTGCAAATCATGACAATCATATGCACAGGTACTTTATAAAGATGTTAAATTTACATGATCCTTCTGTGTAAGTATCTCTCAGGCAAAAATACAGAAGTGAGTATGCCTAAATGCTTTTAAAACATTCAGAGAGTACAGATATAAACTTTTCCAATATATCTGTTGCATACGAGCCCTGAAAGAGACCTTACTTAAAACTCAACTAAAGATTCACATTCATGATTCATTTTAATGAAAAGCCCTCTGTGGTTTTTGAAAATTTCCAAGGTATGAAATAGAAACTGATTGCAAAAGGGAGGAAAAAAAATCTCTGTGCCAGAGATCAAGTGCTGGAAAGTATCTCACGTTGCTTTTAGCAAAAGAACATGTTTGCCCTAATGATCTCCTTAAAAAGCTAGGTGCAAAGGAAGAAAAGTATTTTGTGAGAACATGACATTTCAGTGAAATAAGTTTTCATTTAAAGAAATCTTTAAAGATTTTTTTCAAACAATAAACAGCTAATATGTGGCTTAGCTACAGACTGAATTATTTGATCAGATTGATTTATAGTTGTTTCTTTTCATATCTCTAAGCAGGCATAGCAATAAACCCACTTGCTCCATGTGAAACTTTTGAAAATAACCCATCATTAAAAATGGATAATGGTCATCAGTTTTTGTTATTCTTCTGGATATTCTAATAATAATAATAAAAGTTGGAAGGGACCTTGGAAGTTATCTAGTCCAACCCCATGCTCAGGCAGGAAAGCCTACACCATTTCGGACAAATGGCTGTCCAGTCTCTTCTTAAAAACTTCCAGTGTTGGAGCATTCACCGCTTCTGGAGGCAGGTTGTTCCATTGGTTAATTGTTCTAACTGTCAGGAAGTTTCTGCTTAGTTCTAGGTTACTTCTCTCCTTGATTAGTTTCCATCCGTTGCTTCTTGTCCTGCCTTCAGGTGCTTTGGAGAATAGCTTGACCCCCTCTTCTTTGTGGCAGCCCCTGAGATATTGGAACACTGCTATCATGTCACCCCTCATCCTTCTCTTTGTTAAACTAGACGTACCCAATTCCAGCAACCGTTCCTTATATGTTTTAGCCTCCAGTCCCCTAATCATCTTTGTTGCTCTTCTCTGTATTCTTTCTAGAGTCTCAGCATCTTTTTTACATCGTGGTGACCAAAACTAGACGCAGTATTCCAAGTGTGGCCTTACCAAGGCATTGTAAAGTGGTATTAATACTTCACGTGATCTTGATTCTATCCCTCTGTTAATGCAGCCCAGCACTGTATTGGCTTTTTTGGCTGCTGCAGCACACTGCTGGCTCATATTTAAGTGATTGTCCACTAGGACTTCGAAATCCCTCTCAGAGTTACTACTATTGAGCAAGATACCCCCTATATTATACCTATATATTTGGTTTTTCATACCTGTACATTTGGTAGTTCACTGAGGCAGAGACAGAATCTGTTTATATTTATTTATTTATAAAGAGTAGTTTCAAATCTGAACTTTGAAAAAATGATTTTTTTATTTTTCCACTTTTTGTTCTTGTTTCATTTTCTCTATGATTTTTTTTTTAGATTTGCTCCAAATCACAACTGGTGCACAGCATTTGTGGAGTAGTTCCATTTTTCATAAGCTATTCCTCTTTATTATACGAGGTTTTTATTACAAACTCTGATGCTGTTTGTTGAGGGACACAACCAGTGGTGGGATTCAAATATGTGAACAACCGGTTCTCTGTGTGGATGCTGCTTCTGGAAGTCCATTCTGGGCCTGGGCAACAAAAAAATTAGTTACTGGTTCTGCCAAAGTGATGCGAACTGGCTGAATCCCACCACTGGACACAACTACACGACACTCCTGGCCCCAAAGAGATATATAAAATTGATCATCCTAGAGGGAACTGTTTGTCCATTCTCCCTAATTCTGATTAGAAAGTTCTGTAAATTCTGCTTCACTTGAAAAAGTTTGCAAGTGAAATGCTTTATTAAATTATGATTAACCCTTTCCTTATTTAACAGAGCACTCCAAAAGTGATATTTGAAAAAAACTCAGGCTGCCTCATAGCATGAAATAACTTATATCAGACAGAGAGCTATTCATTCTTTCATTCATTCGTTATCGCCTTTACATAGCTTTTAGCAGTAAGCAGAGGTCTCACATCACCGAAAACATAGAAAATGATAGGCATATGTCATATGTTGGCATTTCTTTCAGTTCATTTGTTAATTAAATTAATTGGTGAATGTCAATTCCTAGACAATCATAAAATGCTATTAAATTAAAGCAAATCTACTGTTAAAAAATAAATAATTGGTTGGCGGTAATGATGGTGATGATGATGATGATGATGATGATGATGATGATGACAATACTGTAATATTGTTTCATTAACACAGAAACTGAGAAGACATCCCCAGGAAGTAGTTTTTCTATTCTATGCATAAGCCAGGATGAAAAGAGTATTTCTGAATATCAATGTCTAAAAGTGAAAAAATAATAACTGGATGTTAATGTGGGACTCCATTGCAGATATAAGGGTGATAAAACAAAACTAAAGCTGTAAAGAGGTGCTAAATTATAATTCAGAATGCCTATATCACACATTAATAAATATATGAGCTAGGAAAAAAGTCTGAAAAATGAGACCATTAAAACAAAATGTGAAAATTATTGAGAATTACCTTCAGTCATATATATGTAACTGGGTTTTGTTTTTCCCTTCTAGGAATCAGAACCCACCATGTGATACCTCATCTTCCACTATCCTGCCCATCTGTCAGAGCCTTTGGTTGGCCAAAGTTCTACCCAAGAGGAACATATGGATCCCAGTGTTTGAGCAGTCAACAGCAAATGGACAGAACATAGAGCAACACTCTGCACCCCATACAGTTATCTACTGTGTCTTCTCTTAAGCCAGCAGGTTTTCCTTGGCACTGAATGTATGTGAATGATGAAGCAAAGATGGATTGGAAATTCTTGCATTTCACTGTTGAATGACGTTCCGTGTAAAAACAGTTGACTCTGCCATGTCACACATGTGGAAGAAGATGAAGAGGAATTTCTCAATAGCCAAACTCTGTGGGGAAAAAAATCTTTCCTCTACATCCTGCCATTTTGTTAAGACTATTCCTATCCAAGAAGAAATGCATGGGGGCACAGGGAAGAAATACTGGTTTCACTGGAGAATTTTCTTTCTCCAATATTAAATTAATCCTGGGGCTCTATTCTCTGACAACCATACTATCAGAATATTCTAGGATCAATATTCCTGATAATTCTTTTTTTTTTTGACCTAATCTACAAAGGGCATAAATGTCTTGCATGTCAAATATAGTTCAAATAACAATGATTTTGAAAACCAGGGGTACAAGGAGGAAAGGAATAATGTGGGAAAAGAAGGATGGGTCTGGTTAAAGCAAGGAGGAAGAACAACCATTGCTTTCATTTACATATTCATTACTGTATATGCTCTTCCTATTCTTTACTTTTCTGAAGTAAGAACAATGTATATCCTGGAAATATTTATTTCATTTAGACCCTCTAGAATCACTTGCACATTGTCAAAACTTCCAGTAAAATACATTAAACTAAAAAAATGAGAATTTTGAATATTTAATAGACTCAGTTGTTTTCATTAACAAAATATTCTGTTTTGTGTATTTCAGTTAAAAACACTAAAAAAAGAACCCAACTAGCAAAAATATGTCTTTAAATGCTATTTCATATTGTGATTCTTTATCATTCATAATTCATAGTTTATAATGTATATTGGGAACAGAAAAATTGTACCCTTTCAGATTTTGGTCACGTGTACTCTCAGAAACCACAGGGTTCATCTTCCATTAACTTTAGATTTAAAAAAATTATGACTGAAAGCCTTTAAAAGAAAGCAGAAGAGGTAGTAATGGTATGGGGGGGGGGGGAAATGCTATTTTCAAAGCTTGGAGTGTGTATCTAAAATAATGTGTCTGACAATAGAGTGCTTTGCTGATTCCAAATGCCCTGTCAACGAGGGGGCAGTAATAAAAAGAAGCAGGGTGCATTGTCTTTCCTGATTTATTGTTTTAATTTGTGTTTGTTCTTCATATAGTGATGATCTAAAGGATCTGAAGGCTTTTATACTGAGTGACTCCTCTGTCCACCATCTTTGGAGCTTCTCTACAGTCAGAAAGTTCTGCACTGAAGTGTAGCGAAGATTTTGAAGGAGAGTCTGATGTCTGTTTCATCTCCAAGGTTGGAGGTTCCCTTCCAAATTCAGAGAAGGGCCCTATGGCTCATACAATGCTACCCCAGAGACTTGTTTAATAGAGTCCTTTCAAGAAGATTGATTGATAACTGTAAGGTTAGGACTACCAGATCTATCTTACCATTTACAGGCTTATGAGGATTTGATTCCTAGGTAGGCTTCATCTTTTTGCAGTACTTAAAATTTCCTGCCAACTCAACACTCTTCATACCCATACAAATGCCTAAATTTAATTGGTATTCACCATGTTAGTCTTAGAGTAAATACAGTGTATAATATTTATGGCTTTCTGGTGAACAGATTCATTCCTAAAAATAGGAGCAATTTGACAATAGGATCAATCATCTAGAGAAATGATGGGCTTCCCTTTAAGTTATATAAAGGCTAGCCATCTGTGGATGCTCATTTATTCTTACAGTGTCTATGGAGATTCTCAGTCATCCAGGTCATAGTTATCCCAAAAATGCTTTTACACGAGGCAACTGGACTTTCTTGTTTTTCTTTGAAAATATTTTGCTTCTTATCCAAGAAGCTTCTTCAGCTCTGACTGGATGGTGGGGAATGGAAAGATTTATATTCCTACAGACAGTTGTTCATTTGCATTCTTTTAGCTAGTCGTTAAACTCAGATAAGCCTCCATATAGCTTTAATGACTCTCTTTGTTGTTGTTGTTAATTGCGAAGTCGTGTCCGACCCATCGCGACCCCATGGACAATGTTCCTCCAGGTCTTCCTGTCCTCTACCATCTTCTGGAGTCCATTTAAGTTCACACCTACTGCTTCAATGACTCCATCCAGCCATCTCATTCTCTGTCGTCCCCTTCTTCTATTGCCCTCAATCTTTCCCAGCATTAGGCCCTTCTCCAGTGACTCCTTCCTTCTCATTAGGTGGCCAAAGTATTTAAGTTTCAGCTTCAGGATCTGGCCTTCTAAAGAGCAGTCGGGGTTGATCTCTTCTAGGACTGACTGTTTGAATGCCTTGCAGTCCAAGGGACTTGCAGGAGTTTTCTCCAGCACCATAGTTCAAAGGCCTCAATTCTTTTCCGCTCAGCCTTTCTTATGGTCCAACTTTCACAGCCATACATTGCAACTGGGAAAACCATGGCCTGGACTATACGCACTTTTGTTGGCAGGGTGATGTCTCTGCTTTTTAGTATGCTGTTTAGATTTGCCATAGCTTTCCTCCCCAGGAGCAAGCGTCTTTTAATTTCTTGGCTGCAGTCCCCATCTGAGGTGATCTTGGAGCCCAGAAAAATAAAATCTGTCACTACCTCCATTTCTTCCCCATCTATTTGCCAGGAATTGAGAGGGCCGGATGCCATGATTTTGGTTTTCTTAATGTTGAGTTTCAAGCCAACTTTTGCACTCTCCTTCTTCACCCGCATCAAGAGGCTCTTTAGTTCCTCTTCACTTTCTGCCATTAGAGTGGTATCATCTGCATATCTTAGGTTGTTGATATTTCTCCCGGCAATCTTAATTCCAACTTTTGATTCATCTAGCCCTGCCTTTCTCATGATGTGCTCTGCATATAAGTTAAATAGGCAGGGCGACAGTATACAGCCTTGCCGGACTCCTTTTCCAATTTTGAACCAATCAGTGGTTCCGTGTCCAGTTCTCACTGTTGCTTCTTGACCCGCATATAGGTTTCTCAAGAGACAAATAAGATGGTCTGGTACTCCCATCTCTTTAAGAACTTGCCACAATTTGTTGTGATCCACACAATCAAAGGCTTTAGCATAGTCAATGAAGCAGAAGTAGATGTTTTTCTGGAACTCCCTAGCTTTCTCCATGATCCAGCGTATGTTGGCAATTTGATCTCTAGTTCCTCTGCCTCTTCGAAATCCTGCCTGTACTTCTGGTAGTTCTCGATCCACATACTGCTGGAGTCTAGCTTGTAGGATTTTAAGCATAACTTTACTAGCATGTGAAATGAGTGCAATGGTGCGATAGTTTGAACATTCTTTGGCATTGCCTTTCTTTGGAATTGGAATGTAAACTGACCTTTTCCAATCCTGTGGCCACTGTTGAGTTTTCCAAATTTGCTGGCAAATTGAGTGTAGCACTTTTACTGCATCGTCTTTTAAGATTTTGAATAGCTCAGCTGGAATACTGTCACCTCCACTAGCTTTGTTGTTGCTCAGATTTTCTAAGGCCCATTTCACTTCACATTCTAGGATGTCTGGTTCGAGGTCAGTGACCATCTCATTGTGGTTATCTGGGATGTTAAGCTCATTCTTGTATAGTTCTTCTGTGTAGTTTTGCCATCTCTTCTTAATCTCTTCTGCCTCTGTTAGGTCCCTGCCATTTTGGTCCTTTATCATGCCCATCTTTGCATGAAACGTTCCCTTCATATCTCCAATTTTCTTGAAGAGATCTCTGGTCCTCCCTATTCTGTTGTTTTCTTCTATTTCTTTGCACTGTTCATTTAAGAAGGCATTCTTATCTCTTCTAGCTATTCTCTGGAATTCTGCATTCAATTGGGTGTATCTTTCTCTTTCTCCTTTGCCTTTCGCTTCCCTTCTTTCCTCAGCTATTTGCAAAGCTTCCTCAGACAGCCATTTTGCTTTCTTGCATTTCTTTTTCTTTGGGATGGTTTTAGTTGCTACCTCTTGTACAATGTTGCGAACTTCCATCCATAGTTCTTCAGGCACTCTGTCTATCAGATCTAATTCCTTAAATCTATTTGTCACCTCTACTGTATATTCATCAGGAATATGATTTAGTTCATACCTGAGTGGCCTAGTGCTTTTCCCTACTTTTTTCAATTTAAGCCTAAATTTTGCAACGAGAAGCTCATGATCTGAGCCACAGTCAGCTCCTGGTCTTGTTTTTACTGACTATATAGAGCTTCTCCATCTTTGGCTGCAGAGCACATAGTCAATCTGATTTCTATGTTGACCGTCTGGTGATGTCCATGTGTAGAGCCGGGTTTGTTGGAAAAGAGTGTTTGTTATGACCATCGTATTCTCTTGACAAAATTCTATTAGCCTGTGCCCTGCTTCATTTTGTACTCCAAGGCCAAACTTGCCTGTTATTCCGGTTATCTTTTGGCTTCCTACCTTAGCATTCCAATCCCCCATGATGATAAGGACATCATTTTTGGTGTTAATTCTATAAGGTGCTGTAGGGCTTCATAGAACCGGTCAATTTCATCCTCTTCAGCACCAGTGGTTGGGGCATAGATTTGGATTATTGTGATATTGAATGGTTTGCCTTGGATTCGAATTGAGATCATTCTGTCATTTTGGGGATTGTATCCCAGTATTGCTTTTCCTATTCTTTTATTGACTATGAAGGCTACTCCATTTCTTCTGAGGGATTCTTGCCCACAGTAGTATACCTGATGGTCATCTGAGTTAAATTCACCCATTCCTGTCCATTTTAGTTCGCTGATTCCTAAGATGTCAATGTTCAGTCTTGTCATCTCTTTTTTGACTACGTCTAGCTTGCCTTGATTCATGGATCTTACATTCCAGGTTCCTATGGAGAAAAAATCTTTACAGCATCGGACTTTCCTTTCACCACCAGATATATCCACAGCTGAGCGTCCTTTCGGCTTTGGCCCAGTCGCTTCATTCTTTCTGGCGCTACTAGTACTAGCCCTCTGCTCTTCCCCAGTAGCATATTGGACACCTTCCGACCTGAGGGGTTCATCTTCCAGTGTCATAACTTTTTTCCTTTTAGTACTGTCCATGGGGTTTTCATGGCAAAGATACTGGAGTGGTTTGCCATTTCCTTCTCCAGTGGATCACATTTTGTCAGAACTCTCTGCTATGACCTGTCCATCTTGGGTGGCCCTGCACGGCATAGCTTATAGCTTCATTGAGTTACGCAAGCCCCTTCGCCACAACAAGGCAGTAATCCAGAAAGGGGAATGACTCTCTAAAATAATGCAAATGACCAGCTGTCTGCAAAGAGTATAACTCTTTCCATTCCCCACCATCCAGTCAGAGCTTAAGAAGCTTCTTGGATGAGAAGCAAAACGTCTTAAAAGAAAAACAAGAAAGTCCAGTTTTCTTGTGTAAAAGCATCTTTGGAATATTCTTACAGTGAGCAGATAATTGGTCTTCCTTATCCCTTACAGGAGAGAAGCAACCTTAGAACTAAGGAGAAACTTCCTGACAGTGAGAACAATTAATCAGTGGAACAGCCTGCCTCCAGAAGCAGTAAATGCTCCAACACTGGAAGTTTTTAAGTAGAGACTGGACATCCATTTGTCCGAAATGGTGTAGGGTTTCCTGCCTGAGCAGGGGGTTGGACTAGATGACCTCCAAGGTCCCTTCCAACTTTACTACTACTACTACTACTACTACTACTACTATTACTACTACTACTACTACTACTACTATTATTATTATTATTATTATTATT